GGGGGGGGGGGGGGGGGGGGGGCGCCGCGGGGCGGCCACCTAGGTCATGATATGCTGCATTGATATCAGCGCCATGTTGAATCAGCAATGCCCCTAGACCCGCATTGCCTAATCTAGTAGCCCGGACGAGGGGAGGCGTGAGATCCTCAGATTGTAATCCTCTATTGATCAGAGAGTCGTGATCGCAGAATATCGGCTGAAGGGGGTCAGGCCGATCCGATTCCTCAAAATCACAGCTGACACTGTGTGCAAGAAGGGTGTTAGCGATTGTGGTGTCTTGTTGCTCCACCGCGAGAGCAAGGGCTCTAGTGCTAGAGATTCGGTCTGTTCTCTGCACAAGAATCTCGATCATTTTCTGGTGTTTGTTTTTCACTGCCTTAACCAGGGCCAGTCCTCCATTTTCCGGGAAGATAGCGTAGTTCGCGTCAGCGCCATTCTCTAGGAATAGATTGATAAGATCGAGTCTTCCGTGCTCCACGGCCCATTCCAATGGTGGGTGTAATGGTACTTCAACCCGAGTTTCCGGTATAATGTCTAGGTTGCGAGGTGTTTGGTCGTAATTGAGGATGTGAGAGAGGACGTGCTTGCTGTATCCAGCTTTCAACGCAGCTGCGAGTGCTTCCTTTTTCTCCTTCTCATTAGGAGGTTCACCCACCGGTGGACATATTGAGCCCGGGACGGCAATTTCAGGCCCAGGTGTCGCCGTTTTAGTGAAGACATTCTTGATAAAATGCAATTCTTGGTCTGTTGGTTCCCGTGACTCCCATACATCATCAACCCCAGGATTGAGTGAGGCCTTCCTGGTAGCGGCGTTGCTTTTGTCATTGACCCGGCCTAATGCCCGTCACCACATAGGAGACTCATCAGTGCTTATTAGCATTTGTTCGTACACAACTCCTTCATGCACTCTTCGCTCATTGGTGGCTCTAAACGGCTGGTTTGTATGAGGATTACGCCAGAAGACCACTGAGGCGTCATGGGGCTTGAAGGGAGTTGCAGACTTCCGCTGGAGACATTCATGCCACTTCACATCTTGAAAAAACGGGCGGGCTTTCACTTCGGTGGCTACGTTTGTGCCTAATCGTTGGGTGGGAATTTTCTCAAGGAGCTTGGTTAGAATGTCCTTCGCGGTTGATGGTAGGCTCTCAGGGAGCTCTAGGTCTTGGTCAATGATTCTGCGCCGCCGCTCGCTGTCGTCCTTACGGTAGAAGGGGGTACGCCCGTCAACATCTCATAGAGAATGAGCCCCAAAGCCCACCAATCCACTTTCCGGAAAGCTTTCTGGTCGTTAAGTATTTCAGGGGCTGGGTACTTGGCCGTACCAGGCAAAATAAGATCAACGTCTCCCATATTCTCCGATTTTAACCCAAAAAGGCCAGGCTTGCAAAGACTGACATGTCCAGATGAATCTAGAAGAATATTTTCTGGCTTCAGTGAACTGAGAATAACGTGCTTGTCATGCAGGTATTCCAGCATGCAAACCAGCTCCGCAGCGTTGAGTTTGGCTTTGTTGGTATCAAACCGCCGCTCTTTTTGCAGATGATCAAGGAGGTACCCGCCACTACCCAACGGAGAAAGGAGCTTTAACACTTCCCTCGGATTTGAAAGCAAATTTGAGTGGTGCGATGAACGGGTGTTGAACGGTAGAGCAAAGGCCAATGCGGGGTGCGACATTAATGTCAGGTCCAGGGACATCAACATCGTAGGCATGAATGACAATGGCTGTCATGCCGTAGTTTCGACCCGTGTCTCTTTTTTCAACATTGACAAGATCAAGGTCACCGCGGACGGTCAATTCTCCCCACGTCTCCAAAGGGATTCCTCCTTCTGTGTGTAGGAAATTTTGATTTCCACTTCCCCCGTGCCATTTTGGACATCTATTGTTTGCACACTCGACCTATGAACGGGTTCAGTCTTATCAGGCCGAGTGGCACGGGTGGGTTTTCATGGCTTCCCGACATACCAGCCTTCATGTCCTCAATGGACATTGAAATCGTCAATTCAGATGATGGATATGAGGAGACGTCACACTTCAACGGCTGATGCCATGCTGCCATGAAACCCAGCCCTTAGTGCCGAGGGCTAACGCCTCTGTTGAAAGCTGGAACCTTTCATATTCAGCGATGGCGTATGGCCGCCATCGCTTGTACGCTCCCGGACCAGGCAATTTTCACCGTTTAGCTCTGGATCGTCTGGTAGACTCAGGTGAAACGCCGGGCGAAGTTTAACAATTAAGATCCCAGGCCCAGACGGGCTGGGTGGTTGTAATGGCTTAGTGATCTCGGATTGTGTCTGATCACCCGTACCCTCATTTTCACCTACGTTGAGAATTTCAGACATCGTCTGATTCTGAAGCGGGGGAGTCGACAACGCAGAGAAAGGAAAAGGGTCAATCAATAGGAGCCTTGGCACGCGATGTGACCTCAGCCT